TGTAACCACCAGAGGCCGGATCCGATCATCACACCAGCTGAGAACAAAGTTCCGCGTTGACATCTTCCGACTACCAAGGCACTTATCTCCTAAGAGGAGATCGTGACACTGGCGCTGCCAGCACCGCTCCATGCTTCCACTGCCATGACCTGATAATTGAAGTCGCTATTGCCGAACCCATGCTGCGCCCAGAAGTTGAAATGGTTGGCAACAGTCACCGTTCCAGATGTGCGCGTGCTCTCCCGAACGGAGAAGTACTGCGTGAACGTGCTTGTTCCCGTGATGGACGGTTCGTTTGTTCGAGTGTCGGTGCAGACTTGGTAGGTGCTTCCATCAGAGTACACGGTACCAAGGCTTGTGGCCGAGCTGCAAGGGTTGTAATCACCGTAATCCTCGACGATGTAGTATTCAGCCTGAGGATAGTTGACCCAGCCGTACACAGCGAGGTAGGAAGAGGAGCCAGAAGCACTGTATTCGGCAGAGTAGGTGATAGCGCTAAAAAACGTTAGATCCTAGACTTTGGTTAAAGAATGCAGTCACTCACTTAGAAGAACCAGTGGTCCAGCCCAGACCAACGACAAAGTCGGAGCTCACTCCATCTTCCCAGTACATGGAAAATGTTCCGGCACTCTCGTCATAGGTGAAATCACCAAGGTTGCCGTTGTAGTTTTGCACGTAGTTAATACCAGCACTTCGCGACACCAGAACAGGTTCCGGGACAGGAGCGGCGAATGCCGTGACCAAAAGACCTGCAAAAGCCGCAGTGACCTTCATGATGATTGAAGAAAGCTAAATGCTGGTGAATGGATTTATGCAACTGGAAGAGAAGCACTGTGCTGGTCAATATTGCTGCGAGCCCGCTCTACCTCTATTTATATTCTGCGAAAAAGACTATTTATCCCTTCCCCCTGCAAGATGAAGCAGCTCAGTCATATGCATTTTGCCGCATCACCTTAAACGCTTGAACAACCTCGAGCCTATTTCCAGAGACAGTTCTATAGTTGTGTCTCAGTCATGCGTTTCCTGTGTAGCCACCAATCTAGCCACTGGTCTTGGCTAAATGGACCGCACTTGGCTAAATGGACTACATTTGGCTAAATGGACGGCAGACGGATAAAAGGGCTGCATTTGGGGGAGGCGGGGAAGTGGGGATTCTTCACCGGTTCCCTGCAGAAGGTTTTCTTACTCAAAAGTCATGTTCATGATTATGTACCCACTGATCTACTGAATGAACACAGTTCCTCGCTCATACAAGACGTATGTAGTGCAGGGTTATGTTTCTTTATTTCTTGTAGCAAGCCTTAGGCTCAGTTAACGCTGCGAGAAACACTGGCCAAAAGATCGCGAAGGTACTTTGGAGCTCAAAGGCCACCGGGAGTTGGCCGAGGAGTTCTTTCTGTAGGTGATGAAGGCAGAGTATTGCAAATCTCGCTTATAGCTGGAAATACTCAGGTCAAAATGCAGGAGCCATCAGTTTACCGAGGTCCTGCCTAGCCAAGCATATACAAGATTGGGCCTAAACCCTTGGCAAACTTTACCCAACTCAAGGAGCCTACTACCCAGTAGGAATTGACTGGGGAGTGGGAACCCATCAGTGACTCCCGCAACCTATAACAAAGTTGTATATCCACCAGTGACCTGGCCTTCTTGGTAAATAGTACAGGCCTGCAGACGTTACTGGCATTTCCTGGCGACTTGTGATGAGGTATCAGTAACTAAGATGTGGAGCTGTTCTTCAAAAAAAAAGGTACTCCTTTCATGGCTCAGGAGAACGTGAAAGTCTCATCAATAATGAGATTATCTGCTTCTGACAGTGTACCTGAGGTAAGTTTACAGCTTGCTACTGTAAGTTCACCGCCTGGGACTGGACACCGACCGGGATGAATTCATCGCCTGATAGATGACTTTTCACCAAGACAGCAAGGCGGTCTTACAGCTCAGCGTTGTTTGAAATAAATTCGGTGTGGTCTAGCACTAAACACAGAACAATTATTTTCCATCTTAATCATGTTGAGCTGTGCTAAGAATAAACTGAACTTCTAATGAAATATACTAAGGATATTTTTGAACTAATAAGTATCTCTTTGTTAGTTTGTATAAGTTTTTGCTGTGAAAAAAACACGCCTCAACAGAATTTCTGGTGGTTAAATATCCTCTAAATTTCACTACATCGAGTTTACGGGTGTGATTTGGGTTTGGGGAGTTTTCTTCGCATCCACTGAGCCATATTTAGAGCTTGCCGGACCTGAGTCTGCATCAGAATCCGCAATCGGCTCTACCGCCTCGTGGCTTTGAGTTTCCCTCTTCCTATCCCACCAAAGCAGGAATTGAACTGTTCCAGTAACGACCACTGGAGAGTTGAATTAGTTGCCATCTTCCGCTATTTTCAAATAATACTGCAATGCACCACACTCACTGAGTAAGATCTGCAATATGATGGACCAAAGATAGCCTTTCTTGGCTGCTGGAAAATCCGTGGTTTTCCACACAAAGTTTGGTGCCTGTGCAGAGTAAAACGTGAGAAGCTTTCGTAGATATGATTGTCAGGTGGAAGAAAGCTTACCACTGCCTGAACAACATAGGCAAGATCATTAGCCATGGCGACAATCAAAGCTCTTTTCTCCGTGTCAGCTGAGCAGATTTCGTTAACCCAGCTCAAGATGAGTGGACCAGCACCAACCTGAAACTAAGTGTTAGCTGAAAATCACGTCTGATGTGTTAGGACTTTGGCATACTCCAATATTACTGAGCCAATATACGGCCATGCGCCCAGGGATGTTAGTATAGAGAGGCATCTGGCGCAGTAGAACACACATAACGAGCTTGACAAATGTTATCGCTGAATCAACCTGGGCATACGGATCGAAAGTACATACCGTGATAACGGCACCGATATGGATAAAGGGCCAGCGTGATCCCCGACAGGGACCATCCGAGAGCAGACCCCAAATAAAGCACACGAAGATAGAGATACCAGTCGTGACCAATGGTACTTGATGACATTAGATTCGCTTGGCATATCGCTTTGAATAGACTCACAGTTGTTAATGTCAGCCACCGTGTATGACTTGCCCGGGACAGGAGGGGGGTCTGCATTGAAGCTTTTCAGCCAGTAACCCATACCAACCTGTGGGTATCCATTGTTCCACAGAATGTATATCATGGCTGGGTCGGTTGATTAGATAAAGGACCAAAGTCGACCGTGACAGGGGATCGCGTACGGAGTAGATATGTGTGCCAGCTGTACAAAATTCTTTTCAACTTAGCCATACTCCAAGGCTCCTTTCCAGCACGCCCAATCGCCTGCATTCGATTGACAGAGAGAATATGTTCCTCGTTAGTTATCCACCAAGTCTTCTTGCCGCTCTGTGGAAGATTAGGGAAGAAGAGATAGCCGGCCAGGGCGAGCGGTAGCGTGATGATGCCATCAATGATGAACAGCCATCGCCAGCCAGCCCGGCCATCCACACCGTTCAAGTTTGTGTAAGCAGCTGCTTGAAGAAAACCACTGAATAAATTCCCAATATGGCCGGCAAGCCAGAATATCATTGCGCGCTTTCCAATCTCTTGTGGTGTGTACCATGATCCGAGAAGATAATGAATGCCGGGGTAAAACCCAGATCTATTTCCGAGATTAGATTGCTGCGAGTAGAAAGGTCATATGAGAAGTTTCTAACGTACTCAAAAAGGCCTACCAGGAATCGAAGCGCATAGAGAGCTTTGTATGACTTTACACTTGACATGCACATAGTTGCAATTCCCCAACCAATCTCGAGCTGCGCAACTATTAGTGTCCACTGAAGGCTGCGATCGAGATTTACACGGGGATGGACTACTTACCGACGGAATCACCCAGCGAGGCGAAATGCGAGTCAACAGTAAGTTCGCGGGGATCTGACCAATAACATAGCCGACTGTGAAAATAGAGGTACTTGTCACCAGTTGGTTGCCAAACATCTCCAGATCCTCCTCCATGCCACTAAGGTATGCATTTGTGACATTTTGAAGGTCCAGGTTTTTGAGAAAATAACCAATCTGTAGTTGTAGTTGTCAGCCAAATATATTTACACCCCTGGGGTAAGGTGAGATGGCACACAGATGCAAATGTTAGCACAAACGCGTCAAGCTTAAACAATAGCCAACGCTGGTCGCTGGGTAGTTCCCATGTGTCCCAAATGTAGCCTTTCCATGACTTGAGAGGCCTGACTATATTATGCTCTTGCGAGGAATTGGCCTCAGTATCCCTTGTCATCGTGGATGCACTTTCTTCTATCTTGTAAGTACGAGGCATATTGGCATCTAAATATTCGCATTGAAATACTAGCACGCAAGTATGATCCCATCTGCCGCTATGATCACCTCACTTCTTAGTAGGTATATTCTGCGCTAACTGTTATTTCCCGCCAGTGATCGAGTTAGTATGACCCACAAGGTATAAACACCTGACGGGTTGCTGGCTGAGTAATCAGTTTTCAATCGTTATCATGGACGAAAGAGGATGGGATGGTAGTGTTATGGCGCAATAGTCTCCAGCAATTACCTCTTCCGCAAGCCTGCAGCCAAGGCCCGACAGAGTCATGGATTCAGTCCAAGTTGCCTGGGATTTTAGACTTGCCGCGCATAAATGCCTCGCATCGATTCAAAATGCTTCTTCTCCTCCTGGAGTTTCTGACGATACTTGCATTTGCCTATTATACAATATACAACGATTATGAGCTCCTGGTGGCATTCATATTTCCCTTTGACCTATGCACTACAATATTTGCCCCTCTTCAAAAGCATTTGCGATGATAGGAATATATTCACGAAGTCACAAATTGTCCCAACAGCAACAGACCCTTCTTAGAGACACTTATCCACGACCCTGATCCCTGTGCTCTCGTACAGCGCCCCTCCATAGCTCCAACATCGCAGGCGGACGAGGACTCCTGCTTTGTTGCATGAGAGCAGCATGTTGCTAGAACCACATGTAATCCGCGTCACTGGGAGTTCCATGCACATTAATGCTGAGGCTGCTTAAGCTGAGGTGTCAAGCGCAGATCTATGGTGGGGGCTTTTGCATGTGTGTTATTGGTCCACAGAACGCGGGCACAGGTATCCAGGTCAGAACAGGCACGGAAACGGAACCGATCAAAAGTAATCGTCTCGTCCACGTCCACTAGAGGGAAGGCTATGACGCACTGGGCGGGCTCTTCCTCACGCGTATTTAATCCGTAACCCAACAGTCCCGCAGCTAGTACCATGCGAGGCGGTAGATAAAAGCTCCTAACACGAAGTTGAAGTGCGACAAATGCGTGACTCATTGTGAGTAGACAGAGGGAGAAAAGGACGGTCCTTCATGGGCTGGAATACAGTTAGTCCGCAATTAGAAGGCTTCCGATATAGGGTGAATACATAATCAATAAATCTGGTAGGACTGTCCGGTGCTATCACTATCTCGATGCTGGTCATTCTCACAACTTGCTGCTGATCACCCTCATAACATTGTGAGGCGAGAATAAAGCTGCCTTGGGAGACACAGAGAGCCATTCCAGCCTTGCTCATGTGCATGGTCTTCTGTTTCCTTAAGAATTCGTCATTATAAAATTCATATCCAGGATATTAGGTAATCGAATGTTGTTGGCTGCATATAAAAAAGGGTAGTCAAGTACCTCCATGTTGGGACCTGAAAATTATAATACCCGTTTGATGACTCCTTACAGCCAGGCCTCCAAGCATCCACGGCAGGAACATCATTATCCGTGATATGGCAGTCACCGTTTATTGATAGCTTTGAGTATGACGCTTAACACCACCCTCGGCACCAAGTATCAGAGAGTTACGTGTAGCCGATGAGGACTGACTTGAACTCCAAATTTACGATGTTAGTACATTCCCAAACTACTGCGTGAGCGCCACACTATTTATTCCACGGTTAAAATCTCAATAGAAATGGGAAAATCTGCAAGCCGTCCCAGATATTACCAGTTGAAAGGCTCGTGTTATTGCAAAGCATAAAGCAAAGCAGTCATTTCTGCGTCCCGAATACCATGCGAAGGCCGTCCATCTCCAGCCACGGCGCTATGTACGGGTCGCAAAATACGGTTACTTGAATGTTGTTTTTATTCTCCATATATATTATCCATACCGCTGAATTGCTGTGAAGGAAGCTCTTCCGAGAACATCATCTGGCAATTCTTTCACACGTCACCAGGTCCCCTTACTTTACACTCTCTGCTGAATGGTTTCGTGAAATTCCTGTTGGGCTTCATCCTGGCCCGCAACTTTTACGGCCTGCTCATCGATATGCTTCTCTACCTTCCCATCCATGCACGACTGAAATGCCCTCTCCATATCCCAATAAAATGGACTTGAGGTCGAGAACAGGTAGTCAATGGACTCTAGAGACCGATTGCGGGTTTCTGGGTAGAACAGGAAAATAGTCGGAACCCACAAAAGGTTCAATCCAGCAAGAAGGAAGTAGCTGCGGCTCCCGATACTTGCAAACATGATCGGATTAACTAGTGTGGTCATTCCAACACCAATAGCCCAGCCGGTAATACCAAAGCCATTACCTTGAGCCCGGAGGTCGGAGGGAAATATCTCGGTGGGTATCAAGAAAGCGACGGTTCCCCAGGTCGCGGCATATCCCAAGTTGAACAGGAACAACATCGCAACAGCAGCAGGTGCAAACTGACTGGCTTTCTCTGGCTGATGAAGGGACGCCTCATAAACAGATCCCGCCTGGAGAGGAAACATCTTAGAACCGGAGCCAAAGAAGTCATACGAGGGTCTGGTACTTACCACCAGCTCAACGACGAATAAGACAAGAGACCCAAGCATTAAACATTTTCGCCTTCCGATGCGATCTACGATCTGCGTACTGATAAGAGTGCCTAGGATACCGATCGTATTCAATCCTCCAGCAAGGCCGTTTTGAGTCAGCTCGCTGTAACCCGCTTGCCCAAGCAGAACAGGAGAGTATGCCGTAACAGCCTGTTGACGTGACAGTGTATCAGCCAGCCTATCTCTGCGACTTCATACTTTGAACGGCTTACCGTAATTCCAGTCCAAGAGCCCATGATCTGGAGCCATATACACAGCCAGGCTCGTCGCCCCAGATTGGAGCCGGGGTTTCCTCCTTTTCCAATCAATATTTTTGCGAACTGAAGGGGCGAGCTTGGTTTGCCCTCTTGCACTGTCGCAATTATTTCCTTGTATTCAAGGTCAATTTCTGATTGGCTGCATTTATGACAACGGATCTTGTTGAGGACCTGCTGAGCTTCGTCATAACGGCCGACAGATGCCAGGAACCGCGGACTATCCGGAAGCATCTTGATGAACAAGAGTAGTATGAGTGCTGGAACGCACTGAAACGCCAACAAAAAGCGCCAGCGAATATCCGAATAGCCGTTATTGATGAAAGCAAGACCAAATGACAGCCAGTATGCGACGGATATTCCTAGATCTTCAACATAATCTGTCAGTATATATTCTGGGGCGGATTCAGCGAACGTCCAACACCTACAGTTTGCAATGAAAACATATCCTAGGAAGGCACCGCGGTGATCAGCTGTTGATGTCTCTGACACCAGTACTGGTGCTATGCCAGTCAATGCTAGCCAGATCAGCTTCTCTCAGGAGGTCTTAGTACGGAAGGTGGGCATACCACCAGTGCCAACTCCTGTCACCACCCTGGCGACGAGCATGAAATCTGAACTCTGAGCCGCAGCTTGCAAAGCACCTCCCACAAGTGCAAGCAACGAACCGGCCAGCAGGCCATTGATACGGCCTAAGCGATCAGCCAGCCAGCCACCTCCGAAACAACCGAAAATGCATCCAAGGTAGTAGATGCTGACGATGCCTCCCTGGTGGGTAGTGTCGGTTACTGTGCCATCCGGTTCGCCAATTCCAACCTCTGTAACGTATCTGGGAGAGCTGTTGACACCTCCCATGACACCTTGATCATATCCCTCGAAGAATATGCAAACGAGAGAAAGAGCCTGAATCCCAACATTGAGTTGGCGTGGGGATAACCGCCTCCAAAAGGTTGTATACCCCATATTCTAGGCCTTGCTGAAACGCACTGAATGAGACTATGAGTTTATCAGCTGTAGTTTCAAATCCTTAGCGCGAACAGTTGCACAACCGGTAGTGGTTGGACTATTTATAACGCGGCCTATGTCATGACCGGATCTTGAGACGCTTATCCCTTGCTTCACCAACCTGACAAATGACATGCCGGATTCGCCCGAAATAACCTAGCGAGAACCGAAGCCTTGGGGCAACCAAAACTGTTGTGGAGAGAACCTTTTGAGGGGCCCCGCAAGAGTATCACACGTTCGAGCCAGGGTTTGTGAGTGGCGCCGTTTAGCAGTTTAAGCGTTTAAGCGTTTAAGTATTTAGCCATTTAAGAGTTCTGGCGATTAGGCGGTCAACAACTACAACCGTCGTCCCCCGTACCATGAGGCATTCAGGCACCAATGCGGCCGGGGTATTGAAGAAGTACGGCAGCGACGCATGTTATTTATTCCCCGCAACATCCCCCCCTCCTCGGTTTCTCAATTGGACAGCCAGTTGCTCCGAGTTTCCTCTGCCTTTCAATATGGACCCTAGCGCTTCTGTATCCCGCTCCCTGGACCTAACCGTCCTGGGACTCAATAGTGGCACTTCGATGGTAAGCAGACGAGCTGGACAAGCGAGGATTTAGGGGGCCTTGAAAGCTTATCTATGTAACGCTAGGATGGGATCGACTGTGCTCTCTGTCGTTTTCAACAGGAAACGCCAGATTCACCCATGAGGTTCGAGCTTCTCAAGGTATGCTATTGTCACATGTGGCGCCAATCCCGTTCAGTCTAACGCAGACATGTCTTTCCAATAGTATGGTGAAATCCCGTTAGAACAAACAATCAAGAAACGAGTCATGAACATCATCCTGCACAACAAAACATCTCCGTCCGAGCTATCCGAAGTGAATGTCATTCTCGGTGAGACATTTGCCGCCGCTGTCAAGGAGTTCTGCGGACAGTATGATGTTGATATCTCGTCCATCGACGTTATTGGTTCCCACGGTCAAACCATCTGGCTTCTCTCTATGCCTGAGGAGGGAGAGGTACGCAGTGCTCTCACCATGGCTGAGGGCTCATTTATTGCCTCTCGCACGGGAATCACGACTGTGACCGACTTCCGGGTTAGCGACCAAGCAGCGGGTCGCCAAGGCGCACCACTGATTGCTTTCTTTGATGCCTTGCTCCTGCACCATCCGACAAAGTTGCGCGCTTGCCAAAACATTGGCGGGATTGCTAACGTCTGTTTCATCCCGCCCGATTCCCTCGGAGGCACTGATGCCTGCTACGATTTCGATACAGGCCCAGGGAACGTCTTTATTGATGCCGTTGTCCGACACTACACCAACGGCCAGCAGGAGTATGACAAGGACGGCGAGATGGGCGCTCGCGGCACGGTGGACCAGGATCTGGTAGATGAGTTTCTTCAAACTCACCCTTACTTCCAGTTGGATCCACCGAAAACCACGGGCCGCGAGGTGTTCCGAGATACTTTAGCTTTTGATCTCATTCGCAAGGCGGAATCCAAAGGTCTTAGTCCGGATGATGTCGTTGCTACCGTCACTCGGATCACCGCTCAGGCCATCGTCGACCATTACCGCCGCTATGCCCCCAAGGACCTCCCAATCGACGAAATTTTCATGTGCGGCGGTGGTGCTTATAATCCAAACATTACGCAATACATACAAGCACATTACCCTAGCACGAAGATTCTGATGCTGGACCAAGCAGGTATCCCGGCTTCTGCCAAGGAAGCTATCACCTTCGCATGGCAGGGCATGGAAGCAGTAGTGGGCCGTTCTATTCCTGTGCCCACTCGGGTTGAGACTCGGCAGCCATACGTCTTGGGAAAGGTATCACCAGGCAAGAACTATCGTAGGGTGTTGCAGCAAGGTATGCAATTCGGAGGGGATAGGCACCACCTGCCTGCAGTATCGGAGCTGGTGAACTATGTGAACGGGAAGGAGTTCAACAACAAATGGTGATACATTTAGTAATATAATAAAAGAAGATCATTAGAATGAAACTTATGCGCACCCTTTCTGGACATACATAGTAACATTCGTGAAGGAATTTAAAGAGTGTTTAGTAGGTGTGAATCCTCTTCTGGCTGGCTCAAACTTTAATTGTGTGGGGCGCCGGGAACCCACATGACATAATCACATTGCGGCCTTCGGCAACTTTCGGCTGGATTCAGCAAGTCTGAAGGTGGACGGTGTAGATATATATCCATACTACCGCATCGGATCAGGAGACAACCTCCTCCGCCCCCGGTCTCCGACGTGTGAAAGTAGTCCAAATGCCCCAGCGTCCCCGAAAAGTCCAACGTATTTCAAGGGCCTGTATGTTACACCCTCGTTGTCCCCTTAGGCCCCGGCTCTAATAGCACCCAGGTGACCTTTGCCATCGACGTAGCATCAAATGCACGAAGACCAGAGGCCCACTCGAACCCTGTCAAAACTGTGTGGATTTCGATATCCCCTGTACATATGAGCGGCCGTTACGGAAAAGGGGTGGTCGTAGAGGAGCCCGCCAAGGGGAACTGGAGCCTGCATGCCAACCGGGTGGCGATGTTGCCGCTACTACTATCTCCCCTCGACCTACCCATTCGGAAGATGATCCTCAAGTTTGCGTGACTGCTCAATTATCGACACCTGTCAATAATAATCACTGGGCAATCGCAGATCCGCACTATACCTCCGACTCACCGTTGACTCCCTGGAAGGCGCTTGCAATCGCCTGTCATTCTGTGGTGCAGGAACTCGCCCAGGTGTATTTTGAGATTGTTTATCCGATGTACTTCTCTCATTCCATGTCTCGCGAGGGTAGATTGTAAGATACATGTTTTGGGACTAACCGCCTTATACCACGCAGATTTCCTCTATTCCATCCACCATCGTTTTTGAGAGTCCTCCGGGATGAAAAACATCTTAAGGACCAAGGGTTGTTCGCCTCAACAATGGCAATGTGTGCCTTAGCCTCCGCACGCGCCAGGGATGGCGGTTTATATTCGAATCAGAGATCACGATCACGGCTGTCACATCCGCCACCAGAGGTCTTCTGGGCTGCAGCTAAGGAGTCTATCCCTCGGGACCTGGCTGCAGCAAGAGGCGTCGAATACATGAGAGCATGTGCGATTCTCAGCATTGCCGCCATTCAGAATGGTCAGATGCGCGATATGCATCAATATTTAGGGATGTATCATACATTAAGTATCATGGAAGGGTTACATGATGAGAAGTTGTGGCCGAGAGACTTGAGCGTTGTGGACGTGGAAGTTCGACGGAGGCTGGTACGCCCCCGTGCCTGTGCGATACCTTTTTCCAGTGACAAACTAATGCAGGATGTAGTTTTGGTCGATGTATACGCTAGATGTGTTTTCAGCGACCGTATTGGGAGGCATAATTCGTTTCAGAGAAGTTCAGTCAAATGTACGCTACCCCAGCGAAGTGAATGACGATGTGCTTGATTCCGCAATAGAAGCACCGATATCGGCGGACTGTACCACACATGAACCATCGGTGTGGATGCGTGGGTGGAATTTTACCACTGATCTCTATCGAATACTGGAGCATGCTATTGACGGCCAGCGGCAAATGCAACGCACCGCGAATGAGAGCCCCTGGTCGTTATTTCGTCCGACCCCTGTCCCGGGCCCCTTGATTATGGAGCATGTACATTCCCTGTTCTCGGCGTTACCGTCGCAGCTTCAATTAACCAAGCCTGCTACCGGTGATCCTGAGCATGATATTGTTGGATTCCAATCTGCCAACATCCAAGCAACGCTCCAGCTTCTCAGCATGGTCCTTTCTTCGAGTGAAGATCAAGGTGTGGAGGAGAAATGCGAGGTTGCGGGGAACGTGCTCAGCGTCTTTAGCACAGTGCCAATTGAGTATCTCAAAGCAATCAGTTCCCCACTGGTACGTTAGTCCCATGGCATACTATCATACTTTTCCCCTTCCATCACTGTAGATAGACGAGCACTAACTATTGAAGCTCTACCATTTGGGGGGGATTGGGTTCATTCTTGGATCTGTCATGGAAGGAAGCCTCTCCGAGGTGTCTTACCAAAGAGTTCGCAAACTTCTGTAAGCGCCTAATAGAATCGTGTGACAGATCCATGTACAACTGTGCTGATTAAAAAGAAGATTAGACATGGCAGCACTTTTGTCTCAAATGGAGTCCGGACTCACCCGCTCCACTGGCGCCAGTGAACGGCTCAAATCACAGGTCAAGCGGATAGATGATTACATGGATACGACTCGGCATGCCAATATACGCTCTGAGCAGCCAGGAATTGATCAATCACAACACTTCGAAGGCTACATGAGACCTACCTCAGGTCAGCCTGTAGACTTTGATGACCCACTAGCTTATTTCGAACTGCCTTCAGACTTGCTGGATGATTGGCCCTGGTCATCCGGTGCTGGCTTATTAGAAGGGATGTTTCCTATGGCGTTAAGGAAGACAGAAGACTAGATGGTTATTTGTTGACTCATTCTCCTTATCCACACCTAGCACGATCTTATGGTGTATGGCGTGTCGACAAGCTCGATTCCCCTGGGCTACCATGGTGAGAGCCCTGTCAAACAAAGTATCTAGATTTGGATGTAACTATTCGAAGGTTGAAACTGGAAACATATCATGTATGCTAATCTATCCCTGATGGTCGAAAGTGTCTCTTTTAAATGGATACTTGAGTCTGATTCAGGAGCAGCTGATGTTTCACGCTCATGGCTGCTCGTTGAATCATAAAACGTAGGATAAGTTTGCCATCATGATCAATTTCAGGTGCTGTTAGTTGTACAACTCTATGCCTTAAATTCAAATTCAACTTATAGTCCTGATAGTCAAAATCCAAGCGCTTCCACCTCGACCCGATCCTGGCTGATGTGGGGTTACCGTGCCACTTCCCGTAGTCCCTATATGTTGTATCAAGACTGGAGACTCGCAGCACTGAACCGGCGTAGGGAGTACATCTCTGCCCACACTTGAGCCACTGTCGCATGCATGTGGAGCCGTGACATTATATAGGACGCTCGTTGTGCATCATTTTTCTGCAACAGCGTTTCCAGTTGCTCCAAACAAAGTCGAACATGTCTGCTTTCGTACTGTGCTATCTGCTTGAGAGATTCGACCTTGCAATGCCTGTTTAATGTGTCACCCGTGATCCCGTTAGCTGAATGGCGTGGCGATGATAAGTTCAAAACATCGATTGAATTTAATACGCCCTCAGCTTTATCTCTCTCAATGCTGCCATAGTCATTCCAGAGCCGGACCTCAGCAGCAGCATGCCTGCAGAAATCCTCAACGATGTATTGTTCTTCTGGGGTGCGGAACACATCATCGTCTTGCTGCACTTGACTCAATGCCATGTGGGAAACCATGTATTTGAGGATGACAGGGTAGAGTACATTGTCTGAGGCAGGCCCGCGTAGCCATGAAAAGAAGGTTGTCTTTCCGGTTTGGTCATGGAGGAGGTCTACCCCCTCATGTACTAGACCCTTGGAACTTCTAATATGACCAATCTGGGCGAGTAAGGCAGACCTCAGCTCACTGCGCAGGCTCCATTTATTGTAAGTGCTCACGGGGTCAGTGGTATCGGTGAGCACAAAGTTCATAAAGCACAGGAACATTGCTTTTGCCTCCTTTACTCTTGCGTGTGGTTCTCCATTGCACTCATTAAGTTCATGGGTTGCATCAGGTCCAGTGGACAAACACCTCCCGGTATGCAATTTCTTCTGTATGAAATCCTCTAATTCATCTAGCTCTAGCGACGAGAAGTTAATCACCTGGTGGTCCACGAACGTGTCAAGCTGGTATGTCGCTACTGTGATCCGAAGTACCATCAAGAGATAGCCTGTACTCAGGAAGTATGAACCTTTGTAGTTGCTCGCCACGAAACAAGACGCACAGTAGAGGAGGTATTCTTCGCTGAGTTTGGCCCGTTGTGAAAAGAAGTCAATTTTACGTAGTTCATCGATTATCATGTAGCCCTCGCGTACGGAAGCCTCGAGTACCCAACTCGGGATGTGGGAAAATGACGGGAGGCTCCGCAGAAAGTTTCCTTGCTTCTGGATGACAGATCTTGGGGTGTTGAACAGACCGCGCAATGTCTCACTGGCTTGGATATTGGGCGTCGGCGCTAGCGTCGCGGAGATGATATAAGACCTTGAAACTGTTTCAATGCTGTAAAGGGTTTTGTCAATCCAGAGCCGTTCTCTGATTGAAATGTAACCACGACTGTATGTGTATCGTAGGTACAACTCTGCTTGTTCAATAGCAGTTAAGGATACATCTCGCAGCTCGCCTCTGAAAGGTAGTGTCAGGAGTCTCTTTATGGCCAATGTTGCATACGACGTCTCTTCAAGGCTGGATCGCGGTCCCCAGGATCCGTCAGCATTCTGGGTTTGGAGGAGCTTAGTCAACGCTTGGTGAACAACCAGCGGCACTCGGGCATCAAGGCCAGTGCTGCTGGACGTAGCAAAATCGCCGCTGTCCCATTTGTTCATATAGTCCACTATTCCTTCACAAATCAACATAACGGGATAGTAGGGAGATATGTTCTATGAAGAGTGTTAACATCTGCTCTCTCGAGCCCAACATCTGGTGGTTGAGCAATTTCTTACCCATTTATCTTGAAGAAAGCCATCCGACTCCCACCACGCATGACACAAGAACCGAACACACTTCTCTATCTGGGAAATGTATGTGCTATTGTTTTCCATGTGAAGGAGGGCCATTAGGACATGAGCGTTAGTGCTGACGCTTGGATTTCGCTCGATTCCAAAGGTCAGAAAATGATCGTGTGATTCGAATGTGCTGATCAGAGAATCTGGACATGCTGGTAATCCCAACAGTCTCAGGAGCAATAATGCTTTCGCGGTATCATCGGCGTCCACGCACATTCCCGGTGCTAGAAGAATTCCCAGTCAGCGTCATTCTATTGTCTGTCGTCTATCTGCCCGGAACATAGACATGATATTACTCACCAAATCCTACTAAACCATTCTGTGCTTTAAGCATATTTTTTAGTTGAAGCCCAATGTTCTTCACCAATGGCTCTGTTTCCTTGCCAAGAGGGACCATGCTTTTCAGAAGAGTGACGGCTATCTGCTCGCGCAAAAACCGACATCAGTAGTCAACAAGTCAGTAGTTCGCCATGAAGAACAGCTGAAGAAGCAAGGAATGTGAATATTGACTGATAACAGAGAAATGAGAGAGGAAGGATCTTACGAACCCATGAGGATTCAAAGGCAGTCGTCGGATATGTTGAAGGCACGCCGCCATTTTGACCCGCATACGGAGAATTGAGCGCGCGGCGGATATATGCCTCTGCATCTGCATCCCAATTCTCGCTGTAAATGAGATACGCGGCAGTTGCGGACGGAGAGCCCATCATGCTGCCACATGATTTGAACGTAGAGACCTGGTTAAAGTCTGCGTACCCAATAAGCCCTTCTAGGGAGTGTGCAACGGAAGTAAATCCCTTGTCATAGAGACTTTCGATCGGAAATCGGGAAATCCTTTTGTCCCTAGCTGGCAAAATCCAAGCGAGCACAGATCCATTGTCGAGATGGATGCTTTCTTCCTCAATAAGCTCTAACATCTTCGGTAGCCAAAGTTCAGCGCCGATGGGCAGCTCATATGTGACTGCAGCTGGTAACTTAGGAAGAGCTTGACGCAGAAAATGTGTAGCCCTAGATATTTTCTTTTCCAATGCTTGACGGCCCGTGTGATCCTTCTCTTCGTTCAGGTGTTTTTTGAGCGCAAGGAGGCCAGCAAGTGTACAGGCAATACGGTCAAAAAGAACCGCATCTGCATCCCATCCGCCATCCTCACACTGGGCTTCTGATAGAAACTTGAAACATTCATTGAAAGCCCAAGCCGTCTCACGACCTGTCACCGGTTTCTTTACCATTGACACCCAAGCGGTATCGTAGATGCTACCTGACACCGCACCAAGTCCATAATCAGGATGCTGGTCTTTCCTCAAATACTGTAAAAGAGTAGCAGCCTCTTGCTGGTAGGACACTTGGACCTGCTGCTCCGACTTTTGAGGTATCTTTGGTGGCATGGAAACCATACTGGGAACCCAAAAGATCAGTTCTGTCAGTAAGCTTTCTGACCTTTGATAGTAGCAGCCGAATGTCAATACTTGGGTCAAATGGTCGCGCCTGTAGGAGTTGACTAAGATGCGACGAGGGTCGTTGGACATGGCTTATATGTTTGTTTATGTCACTCCGTCCATATTCCCAAACAGGGTAGTGCATGTTCATCATGCCTCATTTGATTGGATACATGTCAGAAACAAGGAACCAAATAGAAAATACATGTATTTTAACGCACGGGTAATGCGCGCGTGATGCAGAACGCCGCGTTATTTCTCTTACCCATTTGAGTGGGTTGCAGTTCGGTAATCCGATTTCCTGGAATGTTCAATGAACCTTTCGGGTAATTAACATATTTTTTGAACCGTTCTGCTCACTTGCAGAATTAAATGGCTTGATTCATTCAAACACAACCCACGGAGGCGGCCATGGCGGCGGCGCCGGATTGATGCTCGACCCCATAGACAGCTGCAATGACCCCCCCTGTTCTTTATGCATCACGCCTATCTGGACAAGTTGTGGTGGGCGTGGCAAATGGCCGACTACCCGCATCGCCTGTACGATATGGGCGGCAATATCACGGGGATGCGGAAAGCACGACGACGCTGAACCATACGCTCTGGATGAACTCTGTTGTAGCCAATACTACAGTTGGGGAGGTCATGCAGCTGAACGGGTCGGTGGTATGTGCGGAGTATGTGATCGATACTAAAGCGACGAGGTAGACATTATACTTCAGAGTTCTATGGGGTCAGAGCATAAGGCCAAAGGCAAATTGACAAGCTATAGTTGGTGAGCTAGTTTCTTGAGACACGTAGACTCGAGAAATAAGTACATGCACCCACTATAGCATCAGTATATCATGTGATCAGCGTTTGGGAGCTCATGGTTTTAAGCCACATTGCTTATTCATCTTCCTTTACGAAAGACTTTTTGTTCACAGCGAGGGGTTGGGGTACTGCCGCTCTTCTCCGCCTTAGATATAACACTAAGCTAACAGAGGTACGCCAAATAGGGCCGTGCTCAACGATACCTATCATCATCATCATCTCCCCATATAAGCTGACTACGTAACCCTTTCAGCGGAATATATACTTTGTTCTATTACATTATAGACCGTTGACTATAGTGCTCGGCTATCCTCTTCATCCCATTAGTGCTTTAACATCTTATGGTCCTAGCCTGTCTCTTGAGACACACAATTATATATATGTGAGTTGCGTGATCTCTACGTCCATGAAGTAGTATCATATCCCTCGGGGATATTTCTGAAATTAGGATCGTATATTGATGGACGACAGTTTCAATACAAACATCTTTAGAAGTTGTAAGAACGTTTTTATGGTTCGATACTTTGCTGGCAGTGAACAGCAGGACATTAACCGTGCGTCTAATACCACTCTCCGCCTACACTTGGAAGGTCAGACATGCTCACAGCCTCACCGCCTGCTACTTTGATCCAGCTCCCGATGAGGCAGAAATCTTATAATTCAGGAGAATAAGCGTCTTGATACGGAAGGCGGTAAGATTCATAGCTGTACCAAAAGCTAGCCTTACCTTATCGGAGATAAGCGGCAAGGGTGTTGTGGCATTAGCGAAAGGGAGCGTCTCCCTATATTTGCCTGGGGGTGACGAAGAGCCTGCCTATGCTACTACAACTTGTCATTAAGCCACAAAAGTTTCCGTTGATTATGGATACATTGAGAGCATGTTATATTGATGATCATATTGTGTGTCACAACTGATCGGCTTTCTGTAACAGCAACGGGCGCCGGCGCGACCCAGGTGATGAGACTTTCAGATCAGCAACTTCAATGTTGTCCTCCTCGAGCAGGTATTGATAGACCTCCCATGCCTGTATTTGCACTCGTGTAGACGAGGCAAGAACTGTTCCATCTGCAGCGATAGCTTGTGCGCGAATACTCCGCAATGCAAAGGGTACATGATGGACTGTCTCAAATCCCCGTCGTGTCACATTCGTCTCGAGTTCTCCGTTCCAAACATCCTCGCTCCACCCTACCGGCAAGCCGTCACTGGAATCCACTTGCAGCTGGAGCCGCCATTTGACCGTCTCTGTATCCCCATTCCATGATAAGTATATATCGGTTCCACCGCTGCCCCAATCGGTCCCATGTCGCTGAAAGGCTACCACAGCGGGCTCTTCACTGGAAAAGCCTGTCCAGTTTGCCCGAAAGGCCCGGTAGTTCTGCACATCGCCGCGACTGAGCGGTCGGGAGTCCAGATATGCGTGGTAGAGAGGTTCTCTATCGGAAGAAAATTCGGTGATCGCTCCCTCTGAGCCCCAGTTTATGAAAACATTCCCATTGGAAAGGGCTTGCAGTGAGCCTTGTGATTTCACCAGCAGTAGATCAGGAGGAATAAACGAGGACTCAAGGGAAGCATAGCGAGTATCATGATTCAAACTGAGGATTTTGCCGCGGGAGTAGGGATAAATCCGCACCTCCTTGTCACCGCCACCGCCACTTTCAGACCCATATACGGCGTTGTCAAATAGCGATATCCTTGTCACGCCGTTATCGTCGATCTGATCAAGGTATCGGGCATGATGCTGGAAGCCAAACTCTACGTTAGGGCCCAGGGCGAAATCGGATCGCGACCCTCCTAGTCGCCAGATGACACTGCCATCTGTGCTGTTAATTTTGTAAATGGTGCTGGCATGACGCGCGGACACAAGATAGTGACCGTCGATGCCCTTGGTCACCGAATTGATGTGAAAATAGTCCCAGGCAGTAGAGCTATTGTGGCCAATCCCCGCCTGATTGTTGGGAAGCGGGAGAGCAGATTCTGGGATACGCATAGGCGTTATTATCTACACCAATCTTTGCCTTTCTGATGTGGAGGATTCCACCGTGATAAATCAAAGATGTGGGGGCCAACGTACCCTCCGGGCCAATATGATCTAGACTTCTCCATTCGAACAACACTTTGCCGTCATTGATATTCAATTCTGTGTGATCTGATAAGCCCCTATAGTGTTCCACATGACATTACGAACTATCTTGAGATAGAGCTAACCTTGAAATATTGCGTTAACAATCCAATGTTGCCGTCGGTCGGATGTGTAATTGCTCAGATCTCGCACTTCCGGGTGATGGATCTGGATCAAAGCGGTCGATTCGTTCAAGATCTCGAACTCATGTTTATCGGAGAGTAGATGGTTACCCGCGCGGAGTTCTTTGATCGTCTCATACCGTTGATTGAGGAGCACATGGTGACCATGACCATGGCCATAGAGTCCATTGTGCGCACCTTCGAATGCAGCTAGAACATCCTGGCCATTCCACCGCGCGGCTTGGAAGTTCCCTGTCCAGGTCGAGAAGTAGGTGTACCCGGACCAGACGAGCTCACCATCGTCGCTGAAAATATACGCACCAGGCTGCTGTGGTGCTCGATGTGCCGGCTCGGAAACGGCATTGAACGGGGCGATGAAGATGTATCCTCGTTCTAGGCCATGGTTTGGAGGAATGGTGATATTGAGACGGGGTGGAGAGAGATCAGGTCTTGATTTATACCTATTATTGGCGATGGCCACATGGCTAAAAAGTATGTAATTTAGGCATAGCCATGGCATCCGCATGATAATAGGTAACAACATGGTTGAACGCTTCTTATCCAAACACATTGGGGGCGGCCGTGACACTGAACTTAAGTAGTGCCACACAGGAATTAGCTAACCCAATCACCTCATCCGCCCTAAAATTAGGCGGCATACCAAGAAAAATGATCGTCAACTGGTATTGCATTTACCGCATCCCCGAGAATATTACTGCATGCTATACCGTGTGACTTTCAGCAACTGAATAACTTGAAAGGTCTAGCATGAGGAAGAAAGTCGGAGCTTCATTGAAGAAAGAGTACTCCTACTTCGCATTCTAATATGTGCCCGCCACAAAATAATGCATTGAAAGACTCTGAAGCTTAATGAGAATGTAGAACTCCCCATTTTACTATGCACTTATCTATGACTGGTTTATGTAACACTCGCAGGCAGACCTAAGGGAAGGAATATTGATCGATCGGCTGGAAGGGGGCTTTGGCCGCCACTACATTCAAATTCATTGAGCACATCAGCAAATTTTCAATGTCTCAATTGTGGCTCGAAGTGTACAGAGCCCGGAATCTGGTCTCTTTCGATAGCAATGATTCAGGCCTGTCAAATTCCTTAAGTGCCCCATCTTCGAAGAGCGCAACCTTATCGTAGGCGAATATGTTCTCGTATCGGTGCACGATTGAAAGAACGGTACAATGGTTGAAATGACTAGCAACGATGCCTTCCATGAGCGATTGGGTAGAATGATCGACTCTAGAGACAGAAGTTAATTTGTGTAAGCATTTTTCCGCGAAGGCCCCTAATAGGACAAGGAAAAAAAAAAAAAAAATAAAAGAAAGAAAGAAAGAAAAAGAAGAAAAAAGAGAAAAAAAAAGAAATCTAGGGTTGGGAAGGAATATGGGCAACACACCGACTCATGGCTTCATCAAGGATTAGAACCACGCTCTTCCTCGCCATACTGCGCGCAAGTGCCAGCAACTGCCCTTGCCCGGCCGACCATAATTCCGGCTTTATATCAGCGTCCAGTCCGCCCATCTTCTGAACAATAGCAGACAAATGGGTGGCTTCGAGGACGCCTTCCAGGGCGGACTCCGACAGTGTCTCATCAGGATCGATGTTGAGCCGGATGGTTCCGGGCAGAAAGCAAGGGTCTTGGGGCACGACGCTCAGATGCTTGAGGATATCCTGTGAAGAGACATTGATGATGTCGACCCCGTCAAT